TGTCTGTCACCCTGAAGATGGACCTGTCTACCATGCCACAGTCTTAGCTTTAAGAAAGCAAGCGTGTGATGAGGCTGATGCAGCTCTGCACAGAGTTGGCCTGGCTCCTGGATTCGTCTCCAGCATTCCACTCTCATTATTTCACTAGTCCAGACAGAATCTACAGCTTCTAGAAGAGTGCCATCTTCTGTATTAATTACACCAGTCTGTTTAATCTCCAACAATATATATAAAATAATTAAAGGGGGGCAGTTATAATTCTCCAAGCGCACGGGGCTTAATTAAGGAACAGGAGTTGGTGGTTCCTTTGACTGCCATCCAGCATCACGGTGTTCTTACGTTGGTGTAAGGAAGCCTTGAGCCTTCAAAAGTCTGAATTAAAACAAAACACCCAATTAACAGACCACTCATTATCTGCAGAAGATAAAAGTAACAGATAACAAAAGGATTCACTCACCCTCAGACCTCCTGTGAAATGAAAATCGGTTGTAGCCCGTAGTTCCTGTGTAGAATATAACTTGCCAGGAATGAATATGGAAAGTGTGTGTGTGTAGGCATACTCAGTCCCTTCTGGCAGACGTGGTAAAATGTAAGCATCATTTTTCCACAGCACCAGTGCCTTTGATTTTCTTAGATGGGCTAGCTTGAACTTCTCCCTCAGCCTTCTTATGCTTGCGAGTTCTGGAAATGTTTTTTTGTTTGTCTTCTCCCTGTTGAAGTACCCTATCCCTGCCTTCCTTTGTTAAGTAACTTCCCGTAGTCCCCAAACACCCATGGTCCTCACTTCCTTCACCAAATGTCCCCTCAGCACCTCATAAAACAGTTGGCATTGAAACAAGTGCCCTGCTATCAACATCTACCCATGATTTATGGTTGCAGTTGTAGTTAAGTGTGGCTGTCGGTATCAGGCAGACCTGAGTTCGAGTCATTGTTGGTTAGTTACCAGCTCTGTGACTTCCACAAAGAGCTAGGCTTCTCTCTAGGAGAGAACATGCGGATTCCTACCCCAGGAGCGATGGTAAGAACTGGAGGAGACAGAAGACCTCAGAGCTCACTGTTGGCATAAGGTCTGTGTGTCCTCAACTAGAGCACAGTTATCATCCCAAGAACCTTTGGGTTTGAGTGCCAGGAGACAGAAGTGGCTTTATCAGAGGAAACAGACTCTGAGTCCACTCTAGGTGTAAGGATAGTCATGTCCGAGTGGCCCTGGTTAGATTACTGGCCTTCCATTATATAGCCTAGGGTCTGTCCATCAAGAGGGGAAGTGTTTTTGGGGAAGTATTGGTTGTTACATGGACCTCATAAATAGAGACAAATGTGCTTCCTAAAACCACATGTGGCGTGGGCTGAAAGTACCCAAAAGATCCTCTCCATTTTGCCGTGGTGCCAAGACCTCTCAAGTGTAGAAAAGAGGTTGCCAAAAAACTCAAACCCCATGTGAGAGCTGGCAGAAATGTCGTCTTGGCCCATTCCATGCTCATGGAATGAGAATCTCTGGCAGCAGCCTGCCTCTCACCAAAGCTCTCTGCTGCCTCTGCTGGCCTCCAGCCTTTGAGGATGTGCTTGTCAGATAATCTAAGCCCTGGGAATCCGAAAATTCCCATTCTGCTCTGGGGCATCCTGACACACCCTGGAGAGTGTCCGTGGCCATGTATTTCCATACTACTTGTCCTAACTTGTACATTCAGGACATGGTAACCTCAGCCTAGAGATTCTGACTTTATAGCTAACCCCACAGCATCAAAGGGACCAGTTTCATTAGAATTACCCCCTCTGTCCAGTCCTAGTTTTCCAGCATGCCTTGCTAGCTGCATATTTAGGGTTTTTTTTTGTGTGTAAATTACTATAATTAATAAGAACTACCTTCATTCTAGTTTTCTGTTTTTGATGGGCAAGGAACATTAGAGAAGAGAAAAGTCAAGATTCATTTGAAAAAGCAAGCAGATTTAAGATAATTATCTTGTTTATTTATATCTGTGTGTTTATTTGTGTTCTGGTTCCTCTATTGCCAAAACTGTAAGATCGGGGACCTAGTAAGGATAGTTCCTGGCACAGAGTAAACATTTTGGCGATCGTGTCTGTTGCTTGAGTGCCATATTAGAAGACTCTGGTGTGTTTATATTACAGGTGGTATGAAATCTTTTCCTTTTTTCAGCCTGTGTGTGGGGGGTGCGAAGAATTAAAACTGGAAAACTAAAACCTTGTGTTGTAGGAATCCACAGTGTCAAAGTGCTCAATCTAACCACCTTGGTTTGTCTTAGTTTCTAGAAATGACATTTGCTGTCTTATTCACAGCTGACCTTCAAACAGCTCTTTACTCAACAGCAAGCTTATCTCAAAAGGCACTTAGTGAAGAATCAAGGAACTGGGTTTTAAATTCGGCTTTCTTCTCTCTTAGAAACGGGAGAGTTTGTTGGCTTGCCTTTCAAAAGCACAGGCATGCGCTCACAACTGTCCCATTGTGTCTGCGCACTGCCTTATTAGAAATTGTAGGGTGGGATGTTGGTTTTTCTTTCTTATTTACCTTTGAGTATTTATTTTAAAATCAGCAGAAACTCTTGTCTTACAAAAATAAAAAGGATAAGAAGAAATACAAATAGCCAAAGACCCAAGAATTCAACCCTTTACCAATCAAGGAATTGTAGAGGGGAATAAGAAGAGACCAGGTTTTGAACATTGGTTTGGAAAGAAATCACCTGAGAAGGAAGGAAACAGTTACCCTGAGCATAAATCCCTGGAACAGCTTGACAAAAGTAGTCAGCTTTAAAATTATAGCCATGCCTGGAGGCACAGATCTCTAACCCCAGCACCTGGGAGGCAGAAACAGGCAGACCTCTGTCAGTGTCAGGCCAGCCAGGGCTACACAGTGCCATCTCGTCTCTACAGGACAAAATGGAATAAGAAGCAACCTTATGCCGGGCGGTGGTGGCGCACGCCTTTAATCCCAGCACTTGGGAGGCAGAGGCAGGCGGATTTCTGAGTTCGAGAGTTCGAGGCTAGCCTGGTCTACAGAGTGAGTTCCAGGACAGCCTGGGCTACACAGAGAAACCCTGTCTCGAAAAACAAAACAAAACAAAACAAAAAAAAAAAACAAAAAAAAAGAAGCAACCTTATACTTGAGAACATGCTTCTTGAAATCTCTTTTGTTTCGGTGTTGAGTGATGAACCCAGCTCCTCTTTCCCCAGCCCCGTTCCACCCACAAGCTACACCTCTGCCTCCAAGAATGTACTTTAATGAAATATAATTAAATTTATGTGAAATATAGCTATAAAAGTAAGCAGAAACACTGGTGTAACAAACTATCGGGGTGAGGGACCAATAAGAGTAAAGCCTTATTGGTCTGATTTGATGTTATTTGCAGTTAATGGTTATTAGCAATAATTACCAAAAATTTTACAGAAGGTTTTAGGTATGGGAAGATATTAGAGACGCTCCTGGACAAACAGTATAGCAATGAAAAGATATTTATTATATTGCTGTGTAAAAATGTTTCCATGTTTGTAGAGAAGGAGTGAGATGCGAGATAAGAACACTGCCGAGGTTTAAAGGCAGTTACCTGTGGGTCAGTGGCCTGGCTGCTTTAATTTCCCTTTTGTTAATTATTTATGGTCTCTGACTTTCCTATGTTGGATATACACCCCTTTATGTTAACAGTCTATGTGCTTTGTTTTCAGTGTAAAGATCTGGGGCTGGGCTTGGTGGCCCCGCCTGTCCTTTCAGCCCTCAGAGGACAAGGCATGTCCAGTTCAAGGCCAGCTTGGGTTACACAGTGAGACTCTGTCTCAAGGTGCAGAAAAAGACAAACAAACAAAGGATGGCCAAAGGGGGGGAGGGGAAGAGGATTACCTCGTTATGCAGTTAGGGAGGGTAGAAAGTAGAGGTGTTTTGAGAAAGAAGAGAAATAGAATTCAGCCTGACGCTAGACCAACTGGCCTATCCTAGGGAACCATTCCTAAGAGCACAGTGGTAGTTTGTTTCGGTTTTGCAACCATTCAGCTGTCTGCAATAAGGAGTCTTAACTGCAGTGCCCAGGTCTCATCACCGGGGAGAGGAAGTAAGCAAATGATGCCTTTTCTGTGTACCCCAGCAAGCCCACAGTAGTACACAGACTCATGCTCATGGCTGTTGTCTGGCTGGGGAGTCTGATGCGATGGATGGGGACAGATACATCCTATACAAGGAGTGAGGATGAGACAGCCCAGAGTGGTCAGGTGATAACAGCCAGAATGTGACTAACAACTCACTGGAGTACAAAAACAAGTCTACAAATGCCTTTCTTGGGCATGCGGGTGCAATTCAGTGGTACAGCCTGTGCTTAGCATGTGTGAGGCCCTGTTTTTGACCCCTGGCACCATCACTGCACATGGAAAACCTTGAGTCTTCTATAGTTTCTTTGCTAAAGTCCTAGTGACATTGCCTGATTGGTAGAATATTTAACTTTAAACAAACAAACAAACCAACGTCATTGTGGAGGGTCTGTCAAGAAAGTGAGTAAGAAAAAATGAACTAACAATCAAATCGGGTAAAGGCAAGGATTGCACAGATTGAGTCTTTTAGGAAAAGGATATGTGTAATTTTTTCTCAGTGGTAGAATAGCATAAGCAGGCATCTGTAGCTTGTCACACTTGTAGCCAGAAAACAATAGGCAAATTTAAAACTTGGCCATTAAGATATAATGTGTTATTGAGAGATTCTTCCTTGGCTGTATAAGTACATGTGTATGTGTTCATGGATGCATGTTTATATGTAGTATGTGTGCATGTAGTACATATGTAGTATGTATGTGTGCATACATGCATGTATTTAATCTGCATGTGGTATGTGTTTTGGACTAGGGTGTCGAGTATCCCAGGATGGTCTCAGACTTACTGTGTTGCAAGTATGACCTGACCCTCATGTCCTTACTCCCCAAGTGCTGGGCTTACAGGCGTGTTACAGGCGTGTGCATCCCCACCTGGCTGCTGCTCCGCTGAGGTCTTTTTCTCTTTCCCTGTTGCAGCTGACTACAAGGAGAGCTTCAACACCATCGGGAACATTGAAGAGATTGCATACAATGCTGTTTCCTTCACCTGGGATGTGAACGAGGAGGCCAAGGTGAGTAGACCTGTGATGGCAGCGGCTCTCACTGAAGACCCTTTTCTAAAACCTTGTGTAGTACTTTCCCAGAAAATTGAGTCCGAAAAAAAAAAATGTAACATTCTCCCTTTTTAAAGCAAACTCTTTGGCCTTTTTGTTGTGATAAGCCACTACTTCCTAGTAACACTCAGAGTTGCCTAAGCCCTTGGGCTTCTCTGTGCCACCCTAGGTAGCTTGAGTCTTCCTGGTGACGGGGTGGCGCTCCAGAAGTATGGCCTCCAATGGCCTTTCACCATTGTGACTGTGAAACAATTCTTGGTTGACCCTTTGACCCTTTTCTGTTCCTCTGAGTCTAAGTGTGGTTAAGATGTGCAGGGGTAAATAACGTCTCTGACAACCAGGCGTCAAGGACAGATGCAGGCCCTGCCTGGGTTTGGGTAAGGAAGTGTTTCCACAGATAGCTGTGTTTGTTTTCCAGCCGCAAGTCTGTTCTGAGGGCCCTAAAGCCCATTCTGGGTCCCAGCGACTGATTCTTCAGCCTCGTTTTGCATTTAGAGGAATGTTCCAGATAAATCTTAAGCTTGCTTTCTGCTTCAGTTATGTACCATCTGGTGAAGTGTTAGAAGAGAGTCTCCAATCTCAGGAGGAGGTCAATGTAAACAAGCTTGTCAAAGCCTCATTGTCCTGAGAGGGAAGGCTGGGTGAGAGGAAACCGGCTGGGAGTGTGTAAGAAGGCTCTCCAGAAGAAAATGAATCGCTCAGTGTCTCCTTCCACTCATGTAGAAAACAATGCAGGTGAAACTGGCTTTAGGCCCAAGAAAGGTGACCCAAATGGGCACAAAGTGACAGATCAGCAATACAGCCGGGAGCACGTTCCAGAGAAGGGAACAGGCCTTTCTACAAGATCACACAGAACTACAGGCAAAGCGTGTCACTGTTGGGTCTGCATGTATCGTGCTCTTAGCATTATAGCAGTGTTCTTGGTGGCCTGAGACCCATTCAGCTCTGTCCCTACTCCTAGGACTGTCACAGTGTACAGAGGTTTGTCTATGCCATTCCAAGCCTCCCTTGCTTTAGCCTGTGCTGGCTCCTTTATGTTTCTCTTTGAGGCTCAACTACTACACAAGGGGCAGTCTGTAAGGGCGCAGTACTGGGATGTGGTGGAATCTCTCTGTTTGGTGGAACCAACAGATCCGCACTTCCAAATGACTCTACAAGCATCCTGCTGTGGTAGGGGTGATGGCCATCCAGAGAGGGATCCTACAGGGAAACACTGACCAAACAATAGTGTGACCAGGGAGAGGACAGACCCACTTCATAGTTACTGAGAAAGAGAGTGGGATTCTGCCACAGAAGGTATCCCGAAGTGTGAAAGCCAGCATTAAACATGAAGCCTCACCACGTTGTTTGGCATCACAGTCTGCAGTAATGGGTGTTAGAGGTGAATGAATGTGTTAAAGACTGTTTCGATAGGGACCTTTGAAAGAACTTAGGGAAATCAGAAGAGATAGAGTCCATAGAAATTAATGGGGTAGTGACTGGGCTAAGCTAGCTGGCCCTACAGCCGGTTCATTCTATACCACTCTCTTGCCTGGTACAAGTACTCACTGTCTTATCTACATCTGTGTCTGCACATGTACGCTTGGCCGTGTACACGTATGTCTGGATGTACACATGTGCTTGTGAGTGTGCACATGTGTGTCTGGGTGTGTAAGCTTGCACATATGTGTACAGGTGTACTTGTAGATAGACACTGATTTTTTCTCGTTGGCAAATGGCCTTCCACAATATCTCATGACACTTCCTGCAGCAGTTTTGTTTTATTTCCTTAACATCTATTTTTAGTGACTGTCGTTCTTTGTTAACCGAGAAGTAAGTCTTAAACGGTTATAAATGGTTCTCCAAACTACAGAAGGGCATTTGAAGGCAAATTCCAAAAGCTCAGCACCTCAGCTGGGGTGCTGGGCAGAACTGAGGTTTCATCTTCAAGTCCAGAGAGCCTTTTGGCAGTTTTATAAAAATATTACTGTTTTTATAGTAAGCGGACTGCAAAAGACAAGATGGGAGAGTAGCTGTGGGAAAGAGTTTCAGCAAAGCAGGGAGGGATGGTGGCTTCGTCCAGGAAGCATGTGTTTCAGGGTTCCACTTGTGTTCACACCCACTGTATCTATCTTTGCAGGCTTCAGGAGGGGCCTAGGTATCTCAGTCCATTTCACAGGGTGCTTGCTTTTTGTTTTCTTGCTGCTGGAGAACACAGACTTGTGGTTCACAGAACAGATATGGGTATATTGTGCACTTCTGAATCAGTGGAAATTTTAATGTTTTCACTCATGTTTAAAAATAGAGTTGTTTTAGTTTGTTTGTATCATTTTTCTGAGACAGGGTCTCTCTGTATTGCCTTCCCTGGTCTAGAATTACAGGCATACCCTGTAATACCAGGTCTAGAAGAAGAAGAAAAAAATATATATATATGATTCTGAATTATTTTGGACAATTAATTCTGGATTAATTTGGGCCCCAGTGTTTATAAGGTTTTGAGTGGCTCTCATGATGAGTAGCCACTCTTTTTCCTAGTGCTCACTCTCTGTTCTGGAAGTTTCTCGCCCAGCTGTGGGTATATATTTGAATTTTTATGTACAATGACATCAACCCTAGGTTCAGGTCTTCCCTAGCTTCCAGTGTTCAGGAAGTGACGCGTAATGAAAATCGAAATGGTTCTCACGCTGTGTGGCGAGAACTTTACCCACTAGACCTTCTACTTATCCCTCTCATAAAATTTTATTTATTTATTTAGTATGTATGCATGCGCGCCCCTGTGTGTCACTGGGAATTGAACCCAGGGCCTCCCGTGTGCTAGGCTAGTGCTTCTCACTACCTTATTCGGTGGTCTTAGTCCTGAGTCTTTGTGGCTGCCTTGCCTGCTTGCTCCTTCTGTCTTTCCTCTGTACAAATAGGAGACAGGAGAGGCATCAGCCCTGAGTCATTTAGCTTCTTTTAATTATGGGAACAACATTTACCCAGGAAGGTGCTCAAACTCCCAATGCCTGTGTGTGTGTGTGTGTGTGTGTGTGTGTGTGTCTGTATGTCTGTATGTATGTATGTATGTGTGTATATATGTATGTGTATCTGTATGTGTCTGCATCTCAGACTCTGGCTTCGTTCCCAAGCTGCCTGTCTGCTTTAGGCACAGAGGCTGCAAGGTTCCACCTCTCAGAGCCGGTTTTTCCGGTTGTGCCACAGCGGCTTTCTGCTTAGGTGACTCAAGCAGGCCAAACAGTCTTGGAATGGACCTGTTCCCCTCAGGGTCTGTGTGCAATCTGGCAGACTGTGAGCATTGTCTCTGGTCCTTGGTGTGTAGACAGTGAAGTTCCGAGGGTTACCACTGCCAGAGCGTGGAAATGGGTTGGCGTGGCGTGGGTTTGGGTCAGTGCAGCAGAAGGCACCTGCAGCAAGGTGCAGACTAGTCCTGGCACCAGAGTAGCCAGCATCTGTGTTTCTTTTTCTTCTGGTGGGGTGGTTTTTAAACAGGGTCTATCTGTGTAGCTCAGGCTGGCTGTGAGCTCACAACAGTCCTCCTGCCTCAGCCTTCCAAATTCTGGTATTACAGGCATTGTCAGCTTCCAGCATCTGACTTCTCTTTCTTTAGCTTTAGTTTGCCCAGCTGTGAAGTGCTGGGGAGTAAGGGTTAGCACTCCATAGATGCCTGAGTCTCACGCAGAGGATTATGGGGCGGGGCAGCTTCTGTGTCGTATTCTCTCACGTGACTCCCGCTTGCAGGGATATTCTAACTTTAAGTTTCTCTTTGTAGCTAAACACTGGTACTCAGAAAGCAGGCTTGTCAAGCAGGAATCTCCGAGACGGTAATTTCCCACACTAGACTATGGAGTTGCTGAAGAGTGGCTAGCTCAGAGGGGTGGGGTGCTGTCTTCTGCAGTGGTGATGTCACCCACACAGTGCAACCATTTCCCAGGTTTCCAGGGAGAGTCTTGAAATGACCTCCACCCCTCCTATTCAGTGTTGCTGTCTCTGTTCACAGTGATTCCAAAATTAACCTAATCCGGGGTGCTAGAGTGTCTGTCCTGGTGACCATATGGGAGAGGTCAGCTGAGAGCCTTACACAGGTGCTGTGGTTCAGTCTCCTCTTTGTCTTTTTATCCTATGAGGAGAACCCACACCCCTGTTTCTGTATCTGCCCCTTCCTGCACTCTATCAAATGCTAGGATGAAGGACTCCCTCCCCACATTTCCCTATTCTTTAAAAAAAAAAAAAAAACAACTCTCGGTGGTCAATGCTTTAGAAAAATCTTGATTCAGCAAAAAATATTTTGCCCTCATTACCATTAATGATATTAGTATTACCTTTATGTTTCTTTAGAAAATTTATTATCACTGCCTTTATTACTAATATTAATATTAATGTGTGTGATCATGGTTGTACAGGAGCCAGGAAGAGGTCAGAGGACAGTTTTCAGGATTTCTCTTTGTGCCTTGGTTTGAGGCCGGGCCTCTTGTCTCTGCCGCCCTTCATTCTGTGGGACATGAACTTCTAGGCCATTTGCCGGTCTCTGCCTCCCGGCTCCCAGGAGGATTGCTGGGATTACAGATATACTATACCAGCATACTTAACTTCCTGTGTAGACTGTGAGACAGGTCTCAGATTGTCAAGCTTGTGTGGCAAGTGCTTTTGCCCACCAGAGGCGTTTTGCTGTCCTTTCTTTAGACGATTTTTAAAGAAAGCCCTGCCAGGTGGTAGTTGTACACACCAGGTAGCTCTTGGGAGGCAGAGGCAGGCACATATTTCTGAGTTTGAGGCCAATCTGGTCTACAGAGTGAGTTCCAGGACAGCCAAAGTTACACAGTGAAACCCTGTCTTAAAAATTAAAAACAAAAATAGAATAATTCAGTAATATGAAGTTGGTTCAGGGGCTTTTGAACTTAGCCTCTCTGCTTAGCAGGGTAGAACAGGACCTCAGTTTTTATGATGGCTGTCCTGCTTGCCTGGACACCTTCCTCTAGATG